TCGTGCTGCATGATCATGCGTGTTGCATATGGGAAAATAGAAGGCGCTTCGGGGCACTATTTATGCCGTGAAGCATTGCACGCCGCAGAGTGTGGCACGCCCTTACCAATGTTTGGCAATATGAAATTATCTGATGGAAACGAAAGAGAAAGGACAGGAAAGGATTTTTTCGGACCATTTTCACAAATCAAAGTATAATATTCTACCGCCTGTTAAGTCCTGAGAGCGTGTTGCTAAGAACACTGCTTAATAGAACTTTTGGAGCGCCTTCAATTTTTAGATGCAACACGGATGTCCGTAGAGCACAATTAGTTGCATCAAGTGGTTCTTAACAATGAAATAGTAATAGCGAAAGATGCAAAGTTTTCTTTCTATTTCTGAAACAAGTGTTACTGCATTTCGGGTACCTCCCCCCATCTTCAGCATTGCCTACAGTTCAGTGGGTGGATACACTTTTCAAGAAAGACTACAATTTTAAGTCGTTATTGCCGATATCATCGTGTTATACACGGATATTAATACCGAAGGGTCATGAAAAAATGTCATATGAACACTCCAGAGTTACAAAATTTCCTAAAAAATGTGTAAGCTTTTATTTTTTAACTGTTCAGGGAATTGTCCGAACTACTGATGCCAAAATATTCATTGTTTGATACAATCTTGCTATGGCTGATGGGAGATGCAATTGGCGCCTCTCCGCCTACAGCTATCGTATTATACAATCTCAGATGAAAAAAAAAAAACAAAAAATGAGTCCGATCTGACAAAGATGGAAACTGTTAATGGTGCATGAATTCCTTTTTTTTCGGACGAATTGCGAAGCTACCTGGCAGGACACTCCATTTCATCAACACCATGAATATTCGAAATTAAAGCCGGATGATGTGACGAAGAAACACATTAAATTTTTTTGCTTTTTAGCATTACTTTCAATTCAAGAAAAAAACTGGTGAAAGTGCGATCCAGTAATGGATCCGGCGGTGGGTTCTAGATGATAGTAGGTAGTCCCAGTAAAATTGAGAATTCTCGTAAAGCAATCTAACAATTTCTGAAATCCTAAACTTGTTCAAAGCTAAGAGTATGTCAGTTACGTCCCTCACGGCGACTTAATACTTGTATATCTTTTTTAGCCCGGATGAGAGTTGGACTTCTTGGATTACCATAAATTTTCAACAAAACTATCACATTCCGCCCATTCAAATTTTTTCAGTGAATTTGCTACCTCTACAATTGTTGGTAAAAGGGACATTTCACTAACTTTAGCCTTAAAGGCAAATAAGAAGCGAACGTTTGAAGGATCATCGATTGAAACCCCTAATTTTTCTTTCACAAAATAGAGGCTAATACTGCGGTGCTAAGAAAGAACGCCGTATGAACATTCCACAGTAGCCAAATTGCCTCTCGGAAAATATTCATTTTTGAAGGAAGTTATCAATATTTTTTGGGGGAAATTTTCAGACTTTTTCGATCGATTTGAAAACGAAATTACCTGAGAAATCGGAGGACAAATATTCACAAAAGATCTTAAAAATTATTGATTTTTCAAAGGGAATTTGGCATTTCCTGAAGGTTTTTACGGCGTTTTTCCTTAGCACAGCGGAATACAGCCCCTCTTTCCAGAACCTTTATCTAAGCTTTTCTGCATTCCCGTCCGTTCGAAGCAGAGACAAGAGACCCTCCACTGGCCTCCTAGCGACAGGTGGAAGCTTTTACTTTCGGGGTTTCAACCATTCCTTATGGACAATTATTAGGGAGCAACAGTCATCACCCTAGTTTCGGCTGTTGACTTACCTACATGGTCGATGATGAGCTTCGGATGACGTCATGAGCCAAACAACTTTCCCAAACGTCGGCCATTTTCGGCTTGTTTGCAAAACGAAACTGCCAACACGTTGTTGAACATCAACCATGTAGGTAAGTCAACAGTAGAATGCTGAAGTCCCGAAAGTAAAAGCTTCCACCATGGCCAAGATACTAGTGGAGGGTCTCTTGTCTCTGGTTCGAAGTCTCTCAATTTCTCACCACATTGCAGTATTTCGGAGAATCGATTTTTTTCCTACCGGAAAAGCTAGCTCATGCCCCTTTTATACTGATACAGAACCCAAATTTCTTAGAACCGAACGAGGCTCCTGTATTTTGGGATTGTTTCCTGAATCCAGAGGTGTGAGTGACAAACCTTGAATAACGATCAAGCCACCTATCGAAACATAACATATCTTATGAGTCGAATTGTTGCGTCGCTAACAATTTGGCGTCTCTTCACGAAGACAGAAATTTCACACCGAACAACAAAGCTTTTGGTCGGAGAAACCTTGGTTTCATCGCACCCAGAATGCATTGCTTCGAGCTGAAGATGTACCAGCAGAAGCGGATCCAGGAATGCGGCAACATCGGATTCCCTCCCTTTAAACCCGTGTTAAATAATCGATTTTCGTCAGGGCACCTAGCCTTACCAAGAATCGATACATTTCCATAGATATAAATGGAGAAAAACAATCTTGCCAATGGAGATGTTGCATGTGTGAGGAATTTGCGATTTGACTGTTGATTCTTATGTAAAAGTTCGCAAGAAACTCGATGTGGCCACTGGTTTTCTCTGAAATTAACTCCCAAGCTCAAGAAAGCTCTTAAGTTGAGGCCAAAATAGAAGGGATATCCCTCGCTATCTTGAGAGTCCGCCTCTGCATCAAAACAAACTCTCCATGCAATGATAGGGAGCAAATACATTGACAGGGCAGCCACTGTATTTGGAGATTCCACAACTGAAAATACGGCAACCCTGCTAATGTATTTGTTCCCTATCTTTGAATGGAGAGTTTGTATTGATGTAGAGGTGGGCTCTCAGGATAGCGTGGGATATCTCTTCCATTTTGGCTTCAACTTGAGAGCTTTTTTTGAGCTTGGGAGTTGATTTCAGAGAAAACCAGTGGCACCATCGTGTTTCTCGCGAACTTTTACGTAAGAATCAGTATAGTCAATTCGCAAATTCCTCACACATACAACATCTCCATTTGCTGGATCCGCCAATGTGCACCAGGCACCTGAACTGGCATCCACCGCAGTTTCATGAGAATGGGGAGTGAACTTTCAGAACACAATCGGCGTCACTGCTCGGATCCTCGGAACAAAGCGATAGAAAGGCTTCGATACCCAAGTGTTACACGCCCAATCGAACCCAGTTAATCCCGGCGATAATTGACACTTTGACTTGGGTTCAATTTGTGTCGCTCCGTGTTCCTGCTACCTTTGAATTAGTCGTGTGAATACATGTCGGGCTCGTTCGCTTGCCGCATCGCTGCCGGACGGTCCTGGTGTCATTTGTAAGAAAGTTCGCTCAAAAGTTCTGGATTTAATGGAGATGTTGCATGTGTGGGGAGTGTGCGATTTGACTACTGATTCTTACGTAAAAGCTCCCGAAAAACACGATGGTGTTACTGGTTTTCTCTGAAATCAACTCCCAAGCTCAAAAAAAGCTCAAAAGTTGAGGCCAAAATGGAGGGGACATCCCACGCTATCCTGAGAGTCCACCTCCACATCAAGACAAACTCTCCATGCAAAGATTGGGAGTAAGTACATTAGCAGGGTTGCCTTGTTTTCAGTTGTGGAGTCCCCAAAAAAAGTGGCAGCCCTGTCAATGTATTTGCTCCCTATCTTCGCATAGAGAGTTTGTCTTGATGTAGAGGTGGACTCTCAGGATAGCGTGGGATGTCCCCTCCATTTTGGCCTCAACTTGAGAGCTCTTTTTGAGCTTGGCAGTTGATTTCAGAGAAAACCAGTGGAACAATCGTGTTTCTTGCGAACTTTTGCATGAGAATCAACAGTCAAATCGCAAATTCTTTATACATGCAACATCTCCATTGTTGTTGTCGCTCCATTTTTCCGTTACCTTCTTTGTCTTTCGCTTATATTATCCTATCAAGAATCAGCCTGCAGGAGAAACGGTGGTGAGGCGTGAATGATCGATCATCGATATTCCCGATTTGCAGCTATGGTAAAGAATCGATTGTTAAGGTGTTCATTGCGAACACCATATTTATCGATCATTTTTCATAGGCTCAAATGGCAGATCAATCGGTATATCGCAAACCACGCCACGCCACGCCACTGAGGAGAAAATACCTTTCCTATCCGCATCAGCAGCCAAAAATTCCTAGGTTCCGTGATCCGGCTGTCTTTGAATCAGTAATCTTCAGATCTTCATCTTTTGTCATTTAATTTTTAAACATTGTTATACGCGTTTATAGGAATTTGACTATGCAAAAATTATGACGAGTATCGACGTAATAAAGTGTGGAAAATGGGATACGCAAGGGATCGGTTCGTATGACGCACAACGAGACGAGTCAATCAGAGGTCGGACATGAAATTTTTGACTAAAACTGCAAATTTTGATGTTAAACTGCAAATTTTGATGTTTATTTCGTCACATTAAAAATTAAGGTTGCTTCCAGCAGAAAATTTCACGAGGAAATCAATGGAACCACTTTTAGAACTTCAAAATTATGTATAAACGGAGTGATAAGCTGTTAAAGTTTCCACATTTTGTCCGACCTCTTCTATTGACTCGATCCACTGTGTGGCGTCAAATAATCGACCATACTGGAAAAAAAACACGGTGGATCTAGAGTCCAGAATCTTGAAAACATTGACAAGAAAAAATACTCTTGATTCAATCGGATTTTTGCTTGAATCAAAACGGAATCCGCTTAAATTAAGAGGCTGGGTTCTTGATTTAAGCTTAAATCCGATTGAATCAGGAGTATCTTTTCTTGCCGATGTTTTTAAGAGTCTGGACGCTAGATCCAATTGGTTTTTTTTCCACTGCAGTTCAATTATGCCATCAACGTCAAAACACATTTCATGGTAAAGCCTATTCTTACTTTCTGTACTTTTCCTCAGCAAAGTGGTGTTCTTACTCCACTCCAACGATTCCTCGAGAATGACATTAATTATAATCAGAAATTTGTAGCGACTATATGCCAGAAACGTGATGTTCTTACCTGTCATAGTAGTACTCCCTGAAACAGAAAGAACGAACAGTGCATTAGTCAAATGGGAATTCAAATTGAAACGTAGCACCAACCTCTTCCAGGAAGTACAGAAAATGATTAAAGTCAACTCTACCAGGAAAGTAGTGTGGTGTGGTATGGTAATGCGCTATTCTTTGTAATGGATACAAAAACGCACAATACGCGTGATGAAATCATATTCAAGGAATGTGATTACAATATCACCTTGGAAAAAGTCCAATGAGGCGTGTATCGGTTGTTTTCGAAAGGGAACAGGTCCAGTCTTCGATGAGTCTTAGTTCCATGCCCTTTATGCAAGCTAAGGCTCATGCAAGGATGGACGTGTTTCCTTTTTGAAAACAACTGACTCATATATTTTCGACCGATTTTGGATATCGGCATGAAAAAGCGTGATAAAAAATCACGTTTTTCGAAAACACTTTTTAATTTTAAACGCGACAGTAAAAAACAAGTAGGAATGGTAGGAACCTTGTTTTCCATCACCTCTCTTTATAATTCCCGCTTCAGTTGTTACATGGCACACCTAACATTATCGAACAAAATGGAGCCTACAGCCAAAATTATCTTCGAACAGACGTAGTCTAATTGTCTTTCACGTGCTGTCTTTTCCACGAATAGCTAACCAACATTCTGACTTGTGTTATGTAAGTAAACCTTTTGAAATTAGGGGGAAAAATCTATGAGAGTTTGAAGGTGGTATGCTGTATGAGAAAAATATTTTTGCTCTCGAGTTACTTTCGGTTAATGTAAGAAGGGAAACTCAGACTGCCCTTTAGTGTTGATTTTACTATTGCCCTAGACTCAACTGAAGGTTGGATTACTTGCCGGTCCTTTCTCTCATTTTAACCAAACTTTGGGGTTAATTTTTCTCTCTGTTTGTTGATTGAAAATCAAGGACGCATTGTGAGCAGTCAAGCTAACTTATGCTTACTGCATTCATTTAGCCTTCAAGCACATTAACATTAATTCTGTGAATAACTTGAGTCAAGCAGCTTTTGGTATGTCGGCAGGTGGGTAATTTTAACAGATGTAAGTACAATCGTACTAAACGATGATCTCCCACCCGCGAGTAGAATTTGCAAATTTTTTATGCGACTCTCATAAACTGAGTGAAATTTTGACAAGGAAAAATGAATTTTGATGATAAGCTTACCCTCACTAAAATCTCATTAAAGCATGGAAAAGTTCTGAAAGCTTTCCGCGGCTATTGTGTCTATAGAAGGTACTTCGAGATTGCTAAATTTCACGTGAAAGTTGTCTTTTTTTTCTCACCAAACCCCACTCGGATAAAACTTGGAAAGGTCGCTTGAAAGTTGACAACGGAGACTAAATGATTTCGGTTTTTTATCTTCGGTGTTCGTTCTGTCACGTTTGTGGTGGTGGCGGGACTGAAAAAAAACAATTCCCAGCAGAATCATCTCTTTCATACGTTGTTTCTCTCGTGCGAACGCGAGAAGGAAATCAGTCCTGCTTCATACGTAAGTCGGAATTCCTGAGCATCCTCATTTTCCTCTCCGCTAAAAAAAAAAAAAAAAAAAAAAAAAAAAAAAAAAAAAAAAAAAAAAAAAAAATCTCACTAAATTAACGGCGCAAAAGCGTCATAGACTAATGTGTTTTGGTGTGTTTCGAAGTGAATTTTCAAAATCTAGTAAGACCGTGAGCTTGGGAGCAGCATTTTGTTGAATTAGTGCTCTAAGTAAAACTTGGCTAATTTCCTTCGATTTTCCCCCTTAAATTATTCTCCATTTCCCAAGGACAAAAGGATGAGAAGGGTTAGACTTTTAAGTCCAAGTTCGTGATTAAAACAGATAGGACCGTGGTACAAGCAACGACATTTTCAACGGAATTTTCAACGTGGAATCCGCATTTTTGACACGGTAAGACGACCATTAGTTCCTTACTTATAAAGAGAGTAGCGATTCAAAGACTTTCCAGTGCAGTAATCGTAGGTGCAACAACTTCTCAGAACCCAAATGTCCTCCTTTGAAAATAATGTTCCAATATCCCTTGAAAATGGTTCTCAAAAGCGTTAAATTTAACCTGGAATTGTATTGGTTTTGTGCAAAGGGGCATTTTCTTTGCATCGAATTCAACAATTTACGTCCATATTCGCTGTACTCGTCGTCTCAATAACTTATCTCCTGAGGAGGTAGGTCCCATGTGGTAAAAGGAGGTTTAAGAGGATCCTAATTATATGAGTAGCCTCATAACATGCGAAATTTTGAAAAATCCAGTGCAAAATTAAATTTCTTAATTTTGGAATAGAACCTAAACATGGATTAATGATTTTTCACCGCAAAAATTAATGAAATACGGAAAAAACCCTCGTATGTTTACAAAGTTGAAGGCAGGCACTTACCCGCTTTGAAATGTTTAGTCCTCAAAGTTTTCTCGTTTGTATTTTTCATTTTTGCAGAGTTCGTAAAAACTTCTCCCAAGAGTTGCTTCCGAATTTAAATCCTCCTATTTGAGATATGTTAAAATTGTTATGCAGGCACAAACCAGCTTTTAAATTTTTAAAATCCCCAAATTTTTCTCTTTTATACTATTGATTTTTTTTCGTGACCAACCGTTGAAACTCCTCGTAAGAGTTCGTTTCCGAAGTTACGCTTGTATACTTGAGATTTTTCATACTTTTCCATGATTTTTTGTGCTAGAATCTCTTGAACCCCCTTAATTATAATTCAACTACACGCGGCCTTCTAAGGAAAAGAAGTATTTCAGGAGCGACCAAGAATACAGCTCCTTTAGCCATGTTGCGCAATTTTTTCAGACGCGTATTGCATGTGAACGGAACTCATAATCACACAGCTTTCACCAATTCGCTTTACACGTATAAAAGATCATCCACATGTCTCAACATTATAATAACTAACTAACTAACTGATCCAGTGTAAAACTCTAGAATATTTCTTGGGAAACAAAGCCGAAATAAATGACAATCATATGGATCGCATTTTGCAAAAAGGAACCAAGAGCATTCAAATGTCGCTAAGATTGTGCAACTTTTTTTACCTTGCAAATATAAACTGATCATCTAAACAAATTTTATCTTTACTCCCAATAAACTATGATTCAAGACGCAAACTACCTTTCTAAATTTAATTTTGTGCATTATTTCAGTAATTTTATTACAGATGATGCAAGTTGCACAATCCTAGCAACATTGGAATGCTCTTGGTTCCTTTTTGCAAAATTAAATCCATATAAGGTCGAACTGATACAGGGTTATTCAAAAGTTACGCACCACTGGCCATAACTTTAGTTCTAATTATGATATCGATTTGCGGTTTGTGGCGTCCTTCCTCATATCGAGGGGGAAACTTTTTGAGGTACTTTTCAGTTCTTCACCCCCCCCCCC